CTGTTCTCTCTCGTGTTCTCGCCTCTCTTGTTACCCACCCTCGTGCCTCTTTGTCCTCCGTCTCCGCTCTTACTGCCACGGTCACTGAGTTTGCCTCTACTCGCCGCCTTGACTACGCCACCACTCTTGTGGCTGCTCCTCCTACCAGTCCTCTGGCCGTCGGGGGTGTGTCTGCCCTTGGCTGTGACGTCCTAGAGGACAGGCAGTTTGAGCTAGAGTTCCTGGCGGCCGCTTCCCCTCATCTCTGTGCCATGCTCCTCACCCCTGAGGGTGACCCCGACGCCCTTGACATTCCGACTCCTCGCACTTACGCTGAGGCAGTGTCAGGGCCTTGGGCCTCTCAGTGGAGAGCTGCCATGGACGCAGAGATGGCCTCCTACAGATCCACAGGCACCTACGTCGATGAGGTTCCTCCCCCTGGGACGAACGTAGTCGACGGCATGTGGATCTACAGGGTGAAGCGGCCACCAGGATCTCCTCCAGTCTTCAAGGCGCGCTACGTTGCTAGAGGTTTCAGTCAGCGCGAGGGAGTTGACTTCTTTCAGACCTTCGCGCCGACCCCGAAGATGACCACTCTTCGGGTGTTACTGCACGTAGCAGCACAGAGAGACTACGAGTTACACTCTCTCGACTTCTCCACTGCTTTTCTTCAGGGCAGCCTACACGAGGAGGTCTGGCTGCGTCGTCCCTCTGCCTTCACTGGCACTTTCCCTCCTGGGACCCAGTGGAGGCGACCTGTCTACGGTCTTCGCCAGGCCCCTCGTGAGTGGCACGACACTCTCCGCTCTACCCTCTCTGACCTTGGGTTCCAGCCGTCTTCTGCCGACCCGTCGCTGTTTGTTCGCCGTGGCTCCACACCGTTCTTCGTTCTGGTCTACGTCGACGACCTAGTTTTCGCCACTGCTGACAGGGTTGCTTTGGCAGACGTGAAGTCCGAACTGCAAAAGAGACACACGTGCACTGACCTTGGTGAGCTGCGCCATTACCTTGGGCTGCAGATCACCAGGGACAGAGCTGCTCGCACCATTACACTCTCACAGTCACACATGGTGCAGCAGGTCCTTCAGCGGTTCGAGCTTCAGCACTCCACAGTACAGCGCACACCTCTTGCTGTTGACCACAGACTCACTGGCCCCTTTCCTGACGAGCCGTTTGAGCCTAGTGGTCCTTACGCAGAGCTTGTGGGTTGCCTCATGTACCTGATGACTTGTACTCGCCCGGACCTCGCTTTCCCTCTCAGCATCCTTGCGCGCTTTGTTGCGCCAGGGAGACACCGTCCTGTTCACTGGACAGCAGCTGTGAGGGTGGCGAAGTACCTAGCGACGACATCAGGCGTGGGGCTAGTTCTTGGAGGGCAGCAGGCTGTTGTACTTACTGGTCACTGTGACTCTTCTTACGCTGACGACGCTGAGACTCACAGGTCTACTCAGGGGTACTGTTTCAGTCTGGGTTCTGGAGCTGTTTCCTGGCGGTCCACGCGCTCCTCTTCGGTCTCGACCTCTACAGCTGAGGCTGAGATCTACGCTGGTGCCATGGCGGCACAGGAGCTGCGTTGGTTGACGTTCTTGCTCGCCGACCTGGGTGAGCGGCCGAGCTCTGCACCGACCTTGTTCACTGACAACAAGGCATCGATTCTCCTTTGTCGAGAGCCACGACTGGAGAGCAGAGTGAAGCACATTAACGTCAGGTACTTCCTTCTGCGAGAGTTGCAGAGACGTGGGCAGGCTCGCTTCGAGTTTGTGGAGTCTGAGGCCAACACTGCAGACATCTTCACCAAGGCGCTTCCGCCTTGTGACCACCACATGTGTTGTGTGCAGTTAGGCCTTGTTGACACTGGTTTTCGGCTTACTTAGTCTTGAGTTCACTGTTTGTTTTGCTTGTACCCTTTCTATATAACTCTGTTATTTCTTGGACTGGCCTTGTGGCCATTGTTGCTTGTGCTCAGAGTGTGTGGTGACGTTGTGATCCACCCTGAGCTTTGTTTCTTTGTGACTGGTCTTATGACCGTACTCTTTTGGTTTTGCTAGACACCCCTCACTTAGGCTATGGGGGTGTGTCAAATGTTGGTAGCCTGTAGTGAGGTTTGTCTTAGGGGGTACGTATGTTAGGGTTTGCTACTTGTACCCCAACCACCATCAATGAACGAACACTTCCGATTTTGACACAGGGTACTATTTCCGGCCGGGCACGGGGGGCGGCAAGAGCATGTGGCACATCCACCTGCCGTGGGGCGGGTGGTGCCGCAATGCCAATGAGTGCCTCGGCAGGAGCAGGACGGCGTTAGGCAGCAGCACCTTCTACCCCGCCAATCCCACCAACGCGGTATGCTGCTCCATCTCCTTTAAAGCCCCCCTTTGCGGGCTGAGACACCGCAAGGTAGCATCACATTCTCTCCAGAAGACCCCACCACCGCAGTATGCTACTCCCCTCTCCCTTTTAAAGCCCCCCTCTCCCTTGATTCCCGTCAATCCGCCCTTCCACAACTGTAACCTCCTTTCCGTTTGTTCTCCTCTCCCATTCGCCTCTCCCACACCCCTCTCCCACACCCCTCTCCCACTCCCCTCTCCCACTCCCCTCTCCCACTCCCGCCATCAGACCGTCCCCTCCCCGGGTTTCAGCGGCATTCTCAGCAGCAACAGCAGCATCAACCCGCCTTTCTACAACTGGAACCTCGTTCGCCTCATCTACTGCGATGGTGGCGGCTACGCGGGAACAGCGGGGAGGCTTGATATAAACAACAATACGGCGATTTATCTGGATGGGTGGAATATCGTTCAAGCTGTGATAGAAGGTGCGTGAGGAAGATGCTACTCAGGTAGAGGTCAACAACACACAGCATGCTACTCAGGTAGAGGTCAACAACACATAGCATGCTACTCAGGTAGAGGTCAACAACACACAGCATGCTACTCAGGTAGAGGTCAACAACACACAGCATGCTACTCAGGTAGAGGTCAACAACACACAGCATGCTACTCAGGTAGAGGTCAACAACACATAGCATGCTACTCAGGTAGAGGTCAACAACACACAGCATGCTACTCAGGTAGAGGTCAACAACACATAGCATGGTGATTTACCTGGATGGGTGGAATATCGTTCAAGCTGTGATTCAGGGTGCGTTGCTGACACAAGTGAGCTTGAGTAAGTGGACTGGAGCAGGAGAAGATTCTGGCATTTCTTATACACGCTGTTACCTTCGGCCTTCCATTCATCTCACTTCCTCGCTTCTTATTGCCCTCTTCATTCTTTTGACTCCATTTTTTTGTCTCCCTCTCTTTGCCTTGCCCCACGTGCTGTCACTTACTCACCCTCACCACCTCTTAATAACCCTCACACGCAATATCAGATCTGATATCAAAGAGGGGGGTAAAATCCGCGGATCAGATCCTCCTGTCGGGCAGCTCAGCGGGCGGCCAGGCAGTCGTGGCTCTCTGCGATCGCATCGCTGCCGCCTTCCCCTGGGCGGCAACCAAATGCATCTCTGACTCGGGCTTCTTTATTGGTGAGTCTTCATTGGTGACTATTCGTCTGCAACTGCATGGTAACATCACACACTTGTTCCGCGTGTCTTCTGCCTTAGTGAGTTTTAAGCAGCAATCCTCGTTTGCCCTGTGCCCTTCTCCACCCCTGCCTTTCAGACTCCAAGGACCGAATGGGAGGGAACACGTGGCGTGCCTCGGCACAGAGCCATTTCCTCCAGGGAACAACTCCCCTGCGTGACCTCCCCTCCTTCCCACATCTCCCCCCCTCGTCTTCCCCCCACTACAATCTCCAGACTCCAAGGACCGAATGGGAGGGAACACGTGGCGTGCCTCGGCTCAGATGCTGGTGGATTTTCACAAGCCCAACAGGACTGACTGCGTGGATGGTGAGATGAGATGCGTTCCTGTTACAGATGCATGCGTAGCGATTATGCGGTTACCACGTGGTGTGCCTCTCTACACAAAACCTGATTGCTTTTTACAAGCCAGGCTGGACTGTTTGCATGGGAGGTGGGATGAGTTACATTGTTTTGTGAAACATTCCATGAAACAAACTCTGACATGCAGCACGGAAAGGGTTGTGAACGTGGCATTAGACACAGCTGCTAAATGGTTGCATTAGATGGGATTTGAGAGATGGGTTTTATGAGAGTTGGAAATCGAGAGATGGGTTTCATGGGATTGTGTTAATCATGTATTGTTGAACCCACCACTCACTTGCTCTTTACTCCCTCTTTACTACTAGGATGCCCTATAAACTCCCTAATGCCCGCCTCCCCTTACCCACACCCTCTTCTTCAGTGTCATTTCCTTCCTTATTCCTTCTATACTCCCCTTTCCTTCCCTCGTTCTCATTGAACCACTCCTGCCTTACCAGATACTGACCATTGGAAGCGTTTCTTTCCGCAATACATACTGCAAAGCGTTACAACCCCAATATTTCTGTTCCAAACATTCTTCGATATCACGGCAAGCACACTCGAAGGGCTGCTACCGGGAAACTCGACATACGCTTACGCATGTTTACATGAAGTTTCGTGGTCATCTACAGGGATTATAGCGAGGAAGGAGTGGAACAGGGTTATGTGGAGGACGAATTACTGTACAGCAGGAGAGAGGGACGCGTTGTTTGTTGCGGCATCAGTTCTCTATGACGAGTTGGCGAGGGTAACTGGAAGCAAGAACACTGTATCCGCGTTTGTGCAGGCTGGCATGGCACATGTGGACGAAAGCAACGATTCGGGAGAAGTCGGTAGAGTCTGAATTGGTACGATGGCTTGCAAACAAGATGTCCAGCAAGTTTGTGCATGTATAGTGTAATGGGTTAAAGAAAGAATAAGTTGTATAATATTAACTATGACTAATTAGTGATTACAAACAATGTTTCGTAAAATAGCAAGACAGCAAGGAAACCTAGTTAGCACAGGGCTGAGCGCACAAAGCTCTAAGGCTGTATATCCTGCACCCATCAAGTTCCAAGCCTACCTGGGACGCACTAAGCCCCCTCTAATTGGCTTATATATGCACAAACCTTTTAGGCATTTTGTTTCCAAGCCACTGTACTATTGCCGACTCTACCGAGACACCACGGATCGTTACGTTCGTCCACCAGTTGTAGCACAGCGCCACGTGTAACATTCCAGGTCGCACGAACGCAGCGACAGTGTTTCCGGTTCGGATAACCCTAACCAGCTCGTCATGGAGAACCGACGCTGCAGAAAACAGCGCGTGCCTCTCTCCCGCCGTGCACCGATTCGTCTTCCACTCAACCCTGCCCCACTCCTTTCTCTTTATCATCCGCATAGGTGCCCACGACACTTCGTGTAGGCAGTCGTTAGCGTATGTTTGGTTATTAGGTAACAGCCCGCCGAGCATGTTCGCGTTAATGTCAAAGAACGCACGGAATAGGAAAAGCGGGGTTGCAACGTCTCGCAGTATGTATTGCGGAAAGAAACACTTCCAATGATCAGTCTCTGGTAAGGCTGAAGGTCAATGGGTATGGAAGGGGGATTGGGGGAGCATAGGAGTGTGATGTAGGGATGGGGGGAGAAGGCATTAGTTAGGGGGAAAGAGGGAGTAGAGGGCAAGAGTGTGGGAGGTGGGCCAAGGAGGGACTGAGAAGATAGATGATGAAAGTAGATTACGTTTTGTGAAAAGAAAAGCTTCCTACACAAATGGATGATATACACAAAAGCTTCTGTGCTGGTATAGAACCCCACCTCTTGCTGATTAATGCCGTGCTTCATGACCCATTTCAAGCCGCTCTCTTCAAAGCGTCAGATCCTCATCTCACCATGCATGCAAGCAGGCCAGTTGGGCTTGTGCAGGTCAATCAGACGTTGCGCTTTGGCACGCCATGTATTTCCCCCCTCTCGGTCCTTGGAATCTGGAAGGGGGGTGAGGGGTGGAAGGTGGGTAGACATGCAACAGGAAGCGTTTGATTGTCACATAATGTATACTGCCTCTCACATAATGTATACTGCCTCTCTCACATAATGTATACTGCCTCTCATAACAAGGAAACATACATAAAAAGGAAGGTAAAGTTCGCAAACATATTATCGATTTCTCTTTAGCCAGAGAGGCTTGGCCAAAGCACACTGGGCGAAAATATAGATGATGTTACCATTCACTCATACGAGGCAACTCACCGATAAAGAAGCCCGAGTCGGAAACGCATTTAGTTGCCGCCCAGGGGAAAGCGCCAGCGATGCGATCGCAGAGAGCCACGGCTGCCTGGCCGCCCGCGGAGCTTCCCACCAAGAGGATCTGATCTGCAGATCGGATTCCGCGTGTCGACTTCAGATCTGTTTGCATTTTTGCGACGGAGAGTGGGCGGTGAGTAAGTGGCAAGGTGTGGCGCAAGGCAAAGCGAGGGAGACGGGACAAAAAGTGTGGATCGCACGAGCCAATGAGGGGAAGACGCCATGAGAGGGGTGAGAGACGTTCCTAAGAAGCCTCTTCGCTTGCTCAAGCTCAGGCGTTTCAGCAACGCACCTTGAATGACCGCTTGTACGATCTTCCACCCATCCAGGTAGATCGCCGTGCCGTTACCAACGTCCAGCCTCCCTGCTGTGCCCGCGTATCCACCACCGTCGCAGTAGATGAGACGAACGAGGTTCCAGTTGTGGAAGTGCGGGTTGATGCTGCTGTTGCTGCTCAGAATGCCTTTGAAATCCGGAGAGAGGTTCTGCAATGGAACAGAGGGTTGGAGGTGGAGGCAAGGAATGAGTATAATGGCCGGTTGTGTATCAACCAATGGAGGTGGCTTTTGAGTCGACTTGCATAGAGGGAGTGTTTCTGTGGCTTGTAGCACTTTGACCAATAGAGAAAGCTTTTTTGGGATAACGTACCGCGTTGGTGGGTTCGGCAGGAAAGAAGGTGCTGCTGCCGCTCGCAGTCCTGCTCCTACGGAGGCACTCGTCAGGAGAGAAGCACCACCCCCCGTGCGGCAGGTAGATGTGCCACTTGCTTTTGCCGCCCCCCGTTCCCGGACGGAAATAGTACCCTGGGGGGCTGGGGTGTGGAGGGGTGGGGAGAGACAGCGAGGGGGGTGGAGGGTTCAAAAAGGAAAGGAATGCAGGGAGTGCGTCGATAGTGACCTAAACTACATTCTCTTACCCTCTCCCGGAAATAGTACCCTGGGGGGGTGGATGATAGGTACGGGGAGGGAGAGAGAGACAGCAGGGGGGGAGAGCGGGGGGTTGGGGAGGTTTTGAAAGCGGGGACGGGCTGGTTGGGGGGGTGGGAAATATCGCTTCGCAGATCGAGTGTTTCTTAAATCCGAGTCGACTTGAATGTAACCTCGCTTCGCTTTTCATCCCCTCTTTCTCCAACCTCAGGGGAAACAGCCTGTTTCCCCTCCGAATGCGTTCCTCCCGTGGACGCATTTCGCATTTCACAAATTGCTTCGTTTCTCTTCGTTTCCCCCCGCTCTCCCCGCCCCTCCTTTTCCCTTCCCTGAGGAGCCTCTCTCTCCTCCCTTCGCTCTTTCCGCTACCCCCCACCCTTTCGGCTCCATTTTTTACCTCCCGTCGAGGCATTTCGCGTCGAATGAGTTATTCGCTAGCAGAACAAGCCGCGGTGCGGCCGGCGGAGCCAGCGGAGGCGGATTTCCCGCAACAGGTACTGCAGCGAGCAGCGACACCGCAGCTAGCGGAATCAGGCACCGCAGGAACAACGCGACGCCGCGAACATTAATCTTCCGGCCGGCTTTATTGCTGGTAGGAGAGGCGATTCTTCCGCCAGACGCCAATTTCAACGGCAACCTAGCGTTGGTGCTGAACCCCGGATTGAACTCGATAAATGAAGTACCATTAGTCGACGAACCGCGTGCTCGACGCTCGGTGAATGCAGCCATAGTGGTCTGGCTTCGAGTTAAACTCTACCCGAACCTTGAGCTAATGATTGGGCAGAAAGCCACTACCGTCGCAGTATCGTTCGAGGAAAAACGTCGTTCCGACGAGCACTAAATGTGCGTGTTTTATATATGTGATCCGATCAGGCGTCACAGGGTCTGTGCATCAAGTGGATAAGAGCGGCAGAGCTCTGACTGTGACACGGCTCGAGCCGTCTGCTAGAGATTAAGTTCGTCACAATCCGCAACGGTTGCGGGGATTGCTCAGAATTTCCTTCTGTACAGCACACGTGATCTAGCCACGAAAAGACGTGGGGGAACTTCCATATCCGGTTCAAAACGGTGGTACGCGCTGAATAACGGTTTCGCCCTCCGCATTGAATTAACCTCACGTTCCGGAAACGTGAACTCGCGACTGGATAATCAATCTCCATTTAGCGGCGCGTCGGGAACGGATTGACAAATTGAGGTGGCGAAGCGACTCGGTCTTTGCCGGCCAGTTTAGATAACCCGGATCGCGGCATTGCGCTGCGAGCAGGGAACTTCTAGGTCTGCCCGTCAGCCGACTGACAGACCATTCCCGCCTTTTTTTCACAAGTCGTAAATCCTAAAACATCACTCGCTAAGTTTCTGGGATGGAGGTATAGATATGTACAGCTAGCTTGGTAATTGATGCTGGTATAAGATTGGTGTTTAGGTATCACAACTCTGACCACGAGAACTCCCAAGCAAATCTGCACAATGAGAAATACACGAAATTACGATGTGAGAACTTCACCCACGTATATCTTCCTACCAGGTTTCACCATCATTGGATTGAAGACAGCTGTGAATATTCAGCAAGGAACAAGGTGGGGGCTAGTGCTGCAATGGCCCAAGTGTTTGACGTAGTATGAATTATGGTAGCGAACATTCGTGATTGGTAATACTCGCACTTTATGCACCTATGACGGTATGCATTGCATTTGCAAGTACGGTATACAAGCAAGGCAACTGTGAATAGTGATTTGATCCTTACCAGTATTTACAGCTGATATGTGTTGAAATTAGAAGTCGCTAGAGCGCAGCGGAAGCTCTAGGAAGATAATGAAGTCCCTACGGCGGGGCAATGGTCACTCAGAGGTATCTCTCCTACCGTAATCACCCGGACATACCACCCGCCGAAATAGAACACCCCCCGGGTGGCTTGTGCGGGGGGGGGGGGGGGGGGTGCTGCTATAGCGGACCTCGTTTCTACTATACCCCCCTTTTGGGCCGATCCGGTATAAGGGAACGTTCCTGTGGAGACATTTGTGTCACAAAGACAAGGTACCGCTCTGTACCGTACCGAACCGCTTTGTTAAAACATTTCGAACTTGGGTTTGGTTCGGTACAGAGCGGTACCTTGTCTTTGTGACACAAATGTCCCCACAGGAACGTTCCCTAAGACCCGGGGGGGGAATGTTATGTACGGAAAAAATTGCTGTTTTCGCCTAAATTTTGCACAGGGACGTGACCGCACCAGCGAGGCTGCTAAGCCTGTTGCGGGACTCCCGCCTCTGTGACTGCATGAATCCTCGTCGAGCGACGGGGGGTGTGTTTTCGACCAATCAGGGCATGACAGAGGGCCTGTTGGAGCTTGCAATGTGGCAGCTTCCACTCGAGGCTAAGGGCGTGTGCACTAGGAGTTCGAACTTCTGTCTAAGTTCGAACTTTTAGCGAGGTTCTACTCGGTGCAAAGCGGTGAATGTTCGAACTTTGACAAATTTCGCCCAAAGTGCACACGCCCTAACGTTATCGCCTCATCCTCGGTTTTGCGCACCCAACCAACAATCTACCACCGCAGCAAGCATGTACATTTTGTTCCCAACCGTTTCTGCTTTTTAAAAAATGTACATTATAAAAAGACCCGGGTGTTATGTAGCTTTTTCCCATGACAAGACCCCCCCCCCCCCCCCCCCCCCCCCCCCCCCTTTTTTTTTGATGTAGTTATCATAGCACCCTAGGGTGGTATGTCCGGGTGATTACGGTAGCTTGTAACTTGGTGCCAGAGCAGCGGCCGAGGGTAGGCCGGACACAAGCTTGGGAATTGTGTAATAATAGCAAGACATTACATTCTGTTATATAGCAAACAGATAGGGCAAACAGTTACCAAGGCGCAACTGTATAACAGTTGCGCTGCGTCGCTTGGGTTGCCTTGTTACAGTCGCGCTGGCGAGACTTTTCAGCTTCGGCAAGGGCGCGGTATCCTGCCGCGCCCCGCAGGTCAGTTTCGCGTACTGTAGATGCTGCCTCCTGCTTGTCGATTCGACTCTTGAACTGCCACGCGGGTCGCAACCGCTGTGCTCGGTTGCGCCCCGTTGACTCGCCACCAGGTTCAAATCCCTCGCTATGGCGAGCCCCTGTAAGCACACTTCGAACAGTGCACTTAGAATAAAAACATACAATCATATTTCCAACAATATGGACAGAGAATGACGTGTAAGGTACCAAGAAGTTATAACTTGTAATAATTGGCCTAGTACTTATGCACAAATCTATCAGTCATCTCGTTTGCAAGCCACCGTACTATTTCAGACTCTACCGACATTCCCCGAATTGTTGCTTGTGTCCACGAGTTGTAACACAGTGCCACGTGTGCCATGCCAGGCTGGACAAACGCAGCTACAGTGTTTTTACTTTCGGTAACTCTCTCAAGGTCGTCATAAACAACAGATGCCGCAACAAACAGCGCGTCCCTCTCTCCCGCTGTACAGGAATTCGTTTTCCACACAATGCTGTTCCAGTCCTTTCTCGCTATAATTGCAGTGCTTACCCATGCCACTTCTTGCAAGCATGCATAGGCGTACGTTGTGTTTTTTGGGAGCAGCCTGCCGAGCATGTTCGCGTTAATGTCAAAGAAGGAACGGAACATAAATATGGGGGTTTTAACGTTTTCCAGTATGTACTGGGGAAAAAAACACTTCCAATGATCAGTATCTGGTAGAGCTGAAGTTAATCCACGGGAATGTGAAGACAAAAGGAGGTAGGGATGGGAACACAATGACACAGGGAAAGGGGTTGTGGGTGAGGGGAGGAAGAATTCTGGAGAATAAGGGTTATGGTTCCAGAAAGAGGGAGTAAAGAGTAGGTGTGTGAGGGGTGCAAGGAGGAAAGAGAAGAGACACGAGGGACGGCAAGAACGTTATGTGGATGGAAGATTTCCTACACAGATGGATGGATGGATGGATGGATGGATGGATGGATGGATGGATGGATGGATGGATGGATGGATGGATGGATGGATGGATGGATGGATGGATGGATGGATGGATGGATGGATGGATGGATGGATGGATGGATGGGTGGATGGATGGATGGATGGATGGATGGGTGGATGGATGGATGGATGGATGGATGGATGGGTGGATGGATGGATGGATGGATGGATGGATTGATGGATAGATGGATGGTTCTCTCACAGTTGTGCCATGCCATGCACGCTTGTGAAAATTAACCATCACGCTATGCATGCATCTCTAACAGCAATGCATCGGATCTCACCATCCATGCAATCAGTCAAGTTGGGCTTGTAAAAATTTGCATGGCAAGCCACGTGGTAACCATGTAACCATGCAGTGCATCGCATCTCACCATCCATGCAATCAGTCCAGTTGGTCTTGTGATAATCACCCAAGCGCCGAGGCAAGCCTCGTGGTAACCATGTAACCATGCAGTGCATCGCATCTCACCATCCATGCAATCAGTCCAGTTGGTCTTGTGATAATCACCCAAGCGCCGAGGCAAGCCTCGTGGTAACCATGTAACCATGCAGTGCATCGCATCTCACCATCCATGCAATCAGTCCAGTTGGTCTTGTGATAATCACCCAAGCGCCGAGGCAAGCCTCGTGGTAACCATGTAACCATGCAGTGCATCGCATCTCACCATCCATGCAATCAGTCCAGTTGGTCTTGTGATAATCACCCAAGCGCCGAGGCAAGCCTCGTGGTAACCATGTAACCATGTAGTGCATCGCATCTCACCATCCATGCAATCAGTCCAGTTGGTCTTGTGATAATCACCCAAGCGCCGAGGCAAGCCTCGTGGTAACCATGTAACCATGCAGTGCATCGCATCTCACCACCCATGCAATCAGGCCAGTTGGGCTTGTGAAAATCAACCAGCATCTGTGCCGAGGCACGCCACGTGTTCCCTCCCATCCGGTCCTTGGAGTCTGGATAGTGTAGCGTGGGGAAGACTGGGGGGGGGGGAGAAGGGGGGGAAGTTGAGGGGGGAAGATGGGGGGGGGGGGGGGGTGGGGGGGAATGTGGGAAGGGGGGAGGTCATGCAGGGGCGTCGGGGTCCGGAGGAAACGGTTCTGTGCTGAGGCACGCCACGTGTTCCCTCCCATTCGGTCCTTGGAGTCTGGAGATTGTAGCAGGGGGAAGACGGGGATAGGGGAGGGGGGGGTGGGATGGAGATTCATGCCCAAGATAAAGATTT